CCAAAAGAAGATCATCTCCAACTACTTCTCTCATCTTCCTAATTAGCTCCTCTCTCCTTAGCTTCCTTTTCTACAAAGAACAAAAAACCAGAAAGATAACATTCAAGAACCAAAGAGATCATCACTCATGAATTTGAATTCGACTACATACCCGAAAATCGTCATAAGTCCTCAAGATCACATTCATTCTTGAAGGGTTTAGTGACTTTGAAAGTATAGACATGAGAACGGTCAAGCTAACACATGGAGACGTTCCTCTTCCTGAACCACCACTTCTTCTAAGACCTGAAAGATTAACAAATGTTTCAACTTACCATAAAAATTACACACAAAAAAAAAAACTGAATCTTGAATATAGAATTGTAATTATTACCTCTAAGTCTAGGAGATTTAAAACTTACGACATAACTCGGGAGTATGTAAGAATTCATTGTAGAGCTCCAAATCACATACTTCCTTGGATTCTCAAGATTATCCACACCAGAATCAAACTGGTTCGAGCTTGGACACGATTGGTTAGAACCAGAGCTAATCATCTCTGGTTTCCCAAGAATCAAACGACATAAGAGAAGATGTTTTAACCCTTCTTCATCATCAGCTTCACCAACTACAGCCCTGAAACAGAGCAAAAATTTCAACAGTTACATTCCACAAAAATCACACAAAATCTGAAATTTTTATCAAGAACCCTAACTTACGCAGCAAGTGAGCATCTATGATGAATCAGATGGATTCCAACACCGTGAGGTGGTCCAGTAATTTCTCGATTGCTAAATCCATAAGAAACGATACGTTCGATCTCTTCTTTGGAACCAGAGTACCATCCGTATTTCACGTTTGCGTTTCCACCGTTTTTACTAGCCATAGCTTCTGTGAAAACCCTAAACGCAGCGAATCTTGCTTTCTTGGTGAAACTTTCTATGGAGTTTTTACGCACCGTGACGATCTTTGTGTCGATGGCTAAAGGACCCATCCCGGAGATTAAACAGTTTGCGATGACGTCGTGTTCGAAGCTTCCTTCTCGGAGAAGAACCGTCGACGAGTCTCCGGTGATGTTTCCGGCGAGTGGAGAATCGGAAAGAGAATCTAAGATTTCGCCGTTATCTAAGTTGGTGACTGATTCTTGGTCCTCGATCTCTTCCTGAGCCGCCATGAAAGGA